ACCTCCTAGCAGTCCAGGGGACTCTCAAGAGTCTTCTCCAGCACCACAGTTCAAAGGCATGCTGTCCAATAAAGCAACAATGAGAAGTATCTATGTGCATCCATCCTGATGGCATTCTAGAACACTGTAAAGACCTTGCTGTTCGCTCATGCCTTGGGTTGGGTGGTTGGGGCCCCTGTTGGATTTCTTGTGGGGTATGGGTATTGTTTGCCAGATTGGCCATGGGTTCTGGTTTTTATTTATTTCTTATTTCTTTTATAATTCCAGGTAGTCCTCAGCTTACGACCACAGCTGGGACCAGAACTTCAGTCCCTAAGTGACATGGTCGTAAAGTGAGTTGTGCCCAATTTTACAACCTTTTTGCCACAGTTGTTAAGCAAATAAAGTGGTCATTAAGTGAATCAGGCTTCCCCATTTGACTTTACTTGTTGGAAGCCCCTTGAGAAAGTCACAAATGGCAATCACATGACCCCGGGACACTGCAACTGTTGCAAATACATGCTGGATGCCAACATGTATTTATTTTGAATTTTGACCATGTGACTGCAGGGACACTGCGACAGTTGTAAGTGTGAGGATCAGTTGTAAGTCACTTTTTTCTGCACTGTCGTAACTTTGAATGGTTGTTAAACAAATGGTCGTAAGTCGAGGACTATCTGTACTGTATTGTGTTTTTTATTCTCTTTGGTTTTATTGTACACTGCCCAGAGACAATTTGGAGTTGGGCTGTGCCGAAATCAAATGAATGGAAATTAAGTTAAATTATATTCACATGACCCCCCCAAACCAAGCCTCTCTTATAGAAAAAGAGGCTATCAGAAAGAAGGCAAAGCTAAACGTCTTGCTTTCCACACATAAGGACATTCTGTTCTGATATGTCTCTCAACATCTGGTCTCTCCATCTCTGATTGAGCTTCACACTTGGTTTAGACCAGACTGAACCAGATAGAAAACCCCTTTCCTGGAGCTGAAGCAATGTTCCTGTTGAACAAGTAGCCAATCAGTGTCCATGCCCTTCAGAAACCTGAGTTCTTTCAGCTCCCAAAAGCTTTCTAGCTTGGATGGATGATTTCGAGATAAGAAGCTGGATGAACGGTGTTTGTAGGGTATGAGAACATGTGAAGTGACAGAGTTTGAGAGTACCATAATCTCAGAGGTATCCTTTAATCCAAACACCAGCCCTGTTGATTTTGGAATATAATTAGGAAAATAGATCGATCGATCTATATTCTCAAAATTTCAGTTTGTTGGATTGCTGCAAACCTTTTACAGCAAGGAACTTTCAATGACCTGGCTATTTCATTCTCTTGTTCAGTGATAATTAAAATCCCACTTCTTTATCCATGTCTTTTCTTTCTTCCATGATTCAAAAGATGTAACTTGGTGCCTGTAGGGGCACACTCTCCTATAAACCATGATTTACAAACAACTGCATCTGGATTCCCAGAACCTGCAAAGCCCAACTCAAACAAAGCATTGTGATGTGTGAATCCTTCCGATCTGTGTCATTTCACACTAAAGCTTCGTGTAGTTTGGTTTTGGGTTAGTCTGTTGCATGAACAATGATGTGAAGGTGTGTACACACACACACACACACACACACACGAGGTATATTCAGTAAACCATATTGAAACAATTCTCAGTGCAATATGCAATACTGCCAGTGTTAACCCTTGATCTATACAATCAAAATTCAACCATTCCAACTATATTAAGAGATCTTTCTGATGCTGCTATAATTTCTTCAGCATCCTGGCCATTATGTAAAAGGGACCTTTAAAAAAAACAACAAATGGCACAATTTGGACAACTGACTTCACCCAAATGGCCAAAGTCAGAACGAAGTCCTGATAAAGTCTTTTGTGGGCTATGCCATTCCAGATTGCAGGTGGTAAGACATACTGCCATCCCCTTTGTATCTAAGATTAGCAAGTTGGGGAAAAGTTGCTTGGCACCAACATTTTCCCTGGGGAATTATTTCTGCCCACGTCCAGCAGCAATCTTTGGGCGAAGGGCCTTTGATCTCCCCTACAAAAAGGGGCACAGTCAAGAAATGCTGGATGTCTAGATTATGTCCTAAAGACATTAAAGAAGAAATTACTGATGCAAAAGAAAACATCTTGGATGATTTACAAGATAAAGAGATGAAACAAATGTTGCCTGATGCAGAAATATCAGAACATAAGGAATTTGTGGAAGTACTGGAAAAATTTTTAAAAATTATGGACTATAAGAGAGAATACAACTAATGTGGAAATACAAATGCGAAGCCAAGAAATTGGCCTGGATAAGGACTTTTTACTGGACTTATTTTGTAAGTTGGTTAGTCTTGAAGAAATCTCTGAGATGGGAAAAAGAAAAATGGTAGAGAGATCAAATCCTACCACAGCATCTGAATGAACTAAAGTTTGTTAGAAGCAAAATGGAGTACAAAGTTGGTTTGTTTGATCAAGGTTAAAATAAAACATGTTTGTATAAATCTGGGATCCCTTTACAGACTTTTTGCTGACCTCAGGACTGAAATGTTAATGATTTATGGATTTACATATGGATAAGGGATGGGTTATGGGAAGAAGAGATACTTGCACGTGATGTTACAGGGGGTGATGAATTATTAAGTTTGTACTTGTGATGAAGATCGGAAGCTACTTCTTTATATTTCTTTTTTTATTCTTTTCTTTTTCTTTCTTTTCTCTTTTTTTCTGTACACCTTTTCTTTCCTTTTTTCTTTCCTTTCCCTTCTTTCTGAGTTTAGTTCGTATTTTCCTTTACTGTTGTTATTGAAACTTTCAGTAAAATTGTTATTAAAAAAAGAAGAAATGATGGATGCTGCTGAACTGGTCCCTGGTCAGATGTGGGGAAAGCACCCCCCCTCTCATAACCTACTCTGCAAGAGCCCAACTCCTGCCTTCCACTGTTGTAAAAACGACCTTGAAACCAGAAATGTGCTTCTCCTTTTTTTTCCTCCCTTTCATTGTCACCTGACTGAAGGTCACCCAGTGGCTGAGACAGCTCCCCTCCTGCTCGTGGATTTCCTTTTAAGGAGATCTCTGAAGGCAGGAAGCCCTTTTCCTTCAAAGCTTGATTGGTTGACGCTCCACCTTAGCTTGTGTCATCAACGCCCAGGGAACTTCTGCCTGAACAGGCCAGGTCTTGTAACGACATGTGAAGGAGAGCGAAGAGAAAGGCCCGGCTTCTTAGGATGAACCGCCGAGTAACAAACGGCAACGCGTTCCAAACTGGACCATTTTTTTACTCGTTGGCAAACAGTCGCTGCTCTTGTGGAATACGTCTCATTTCTTGGGGAGGTTCTCAGTGGTTTTCTAACCCGGAGACGTTGGGATCCAAAGCACACGTTCTTTCTCTAAGGTACTAGAGTTGAGTGACAACGTTTGAGTCTCACCTAGCTGACTTCAAGGTGTCCGTCACGCTGACCCCTACACTAAGCCCTGCCTTGCTTTAAGAAGCCACAACGGTCTGGAGTTGCACCCCACGCCAAGCCATCAATTAGACTGGACAGCGGCTGCTGTCATATATATTCAGCTCAAGCTAAAAAAACACGTTCTGTCTTGGACAGGTGGAAGAAGCTGAATCTCACCGGGCTTGCTAGGAAGATGTAACTCACACCCACCTTGAGCCAAACAGAAGCAGCGTAAGACGCAAATCTTAAGGGGCACAGAAACCCTGTTCAAGTCCTCTCGTTTCGATTTCAGGGCGTGTGCAGCCAACAGGTCTGAATATCGTATTATTTATTTATTTATTAAATTTATATGCTGCCTATCTCCCCCAGAGGGTGGCTCTGGGCAGCTCACGATTAAAATCAAACATCAAAAACAGTAAAAAAAATATAAATATCCCCATCAAATTAGCTTTAAAAAATCATACTATATAAAAAGACTATATACATAAAAAGACTATAAAATTCAAGATGATGGGGTGACATTATTTCAGTGTTTAGGGATGAAGGTCATTGTTTAAACTGCTGAAGGCAGCACAGCCTGCGCTCAAAGAGAGACTCAGGAACTCACAAGTTTTGCAAAAGCTCAACAGCCAAACCAGTGCAATTAGACATCCACTTAGCCTAAGTCACGAGTGTCCCTAGAATATCAAGGATGAGATGTCTGAAAGGACCCCAGCAGTTTAAAGCAGCATCTTGTCTCTGGTTGTGGGGCAGCTGAACTGTCTTTCCACCAGAACTAGGAACTTGGTTGTCTGGGTTTGATTTAGTCACTTGTGTCTTGCAGCCCTCTGCTGGCCAAACGCTGCTATTGCAACACGTCTGGGTGAAAATGGCCGTCTTTAAATGCAAGCATCGAAGAGAGGGCAACTTCCTATCAGACAGGGCTAACCCTCTGCCAGCCTCTTTTCACTTATATAAATAAGCAGTGAGATGCAGGGTATAGTAACACCAGCGTCTCCTTGCATTAAAGCAATTTGGAGAATTTCGCCTACAATGTCTGCAGGCTGTGGGGAATCCCATTTCCTGTTAAACTAGGTCAGATCTTCATGTCATTTAAAAAGACATTTTTGGCACATGAGTTTAATGGTTGGTCATTTAAATTTAACTTTTAATGGTGACATCAGTGTACGAACAGAAGCGGCATAAAATAATACATGAAATTAAAGAGAAATATAATTGAAATCAGCCACCTTGAATGGCATATTGTGTTGGGCTCACATTAAGCCATGGTTTGTTTAACATTTGACATTTTTTAAACATTCCCAGTCAGGTCTACAGTTCTGGTACTCCTAGAAGCCTCCCACCCAAGTTGTACCCAGGCCTGACCCTGCTTAGCTTCCAGACTGGACAGTCATGTGAGACACCTAAGGCATCTACACAAATTTCAGCGGATTAAAGGAATGACAATCCCATGGAAACAATTATTTACCAAATGTTTGTTTTTCTGCATTGGTTTCTATCTCGCCAGAATTTTACATACATATGAAAATATACAAATGACCAAAAAAAAAAACCTGCATAAATGAGCCAATGCTCCTCACACACGTACATTTTACAACTTCTTGCAAAACTGAATACAGCAAATTATAGCAGGATACTTCTCAGAAACTTGAAAAGGCCTCAAAGGAAATTAAAACCTAGGGTATAGGCGATACATTAGAAAAAACTGCATTTTCATGAAGGCGGCCAGATTTCTTGGACGAACCAGAAGGGAGGCAAAATGTTGAGGGTTGCTTTTCTTCCTTTCGCCAAAGATAAACATCTTATTTGAACTGATTGTCAATGAGCGTGCCTTTCATTTTGGCCTTCTTGGCTTCCAGCTCGGCCTGATCAAATTAAAAAATAAAATGGAGAAACGTGAAATAAATATTCTTACTAGCCCCCCGCGAGGAAGCACAGCCGACCTCTCTCTTACAACAGAAAGTGAGGCCTTTGGATTAAATTACACTTCATCGTCTTCTGCAAAGCTGAGAAACCGGCGGCCTCCCAACATGCTGGAGAACTTTCATTCCAAGCCACGATCACTGATTCAGTAGACTGGAGATCAAACATCTGGAAGGTCACAAGTTACCCCACCCTTGTTCTACTATACGTTTTCATATCATGAGTTCTTCTGGAGTTTCTCCAAAGCTTGCTTATTCAGACATGGAGGAAAAGGTGCTGATTTAAAGTTTTTCAGGAATCTTGGATCACCACCCTCACATCTTTTGCTCATGCGGGGACATAAGGCCACTACCAAAAGCTACAAGAAACACCAGTGCCTCTTTTATCAACTGAGAACTAGTCAAGTCACCCAGCTACAGTAAGTTTTCTTTTGTACATTTCTTATCCCGCCTTTCTTATTTTTATAAATAACTCAAGGTGGCGAACATACCTAATACTCCTTCCTCCTCCTATTTTCCCCACAACTACCCTGTGAGGTGAGTTGGGCTGAGAGGGAGGGACTGGCCCAAGGTCACCCAGCCGGTTTTCATGCCTAAGGTGGGACTAGATCTCTCTGTCTCCTGCTTTCTAGCCTGGTGCCTTCACTGCTAGGCCAAACGGGCTCTTTCAGGTTCTTTCTGATCAATGGCTGCCTTATTAAACAAACTTTTCACAGCAGACCACAAGACAAATGTCCTCAGATATACAAGTATTTTAAGGCATATTATGTAGCGAGAACATGAGTCAGTTCCCACCAGAATCTGAAGAACACTGTTGCATCAAACCTATGAAATGGAAAAATGAGAGGGATGAAAAAAAACAGACTCACCAGTTCTTGCAGCCTTCTCTTGCTCATTCCTTTCCTTTCCAGCTGCTTCTCGATCACTTTGGCATTTTGAGCATATGAATCAGCAATCTCTCGCTGAAAAACACAGCGTTAGAAGGAATTAGACTGAATGCTGGTAGCCCCAGCAGAAAAGAAACACATCAAGAACAGCCTAGGATAAAAAGTAATGCCTCGATTTTATAGACCAAATCGGGGCATGTCTCTTATCGCCAAATGTCTGTCAAATCTAAACATCCATTAAATCCAAATGATGTAATTAATGTCATTTGTGTCAATGTACAGCATTTTGCATAATTGGATTGCATCATTTGCATTGTAAATCGAGCCACCAGGATGTGTAAACTACGTTTTATGGCTTAGGATTTCATATGAACTTAGCCAGTTGTTGGTTAGTCAATAAAAATTACCATGTGAACCATGATTCAGCACAGAATGCTTTAATATGATGTGTGAACCAATGTGACTAACCCCGAACTGCCCACTAGGTTGGACAAGGATTTATACACTAGTTTCTTCAGTCACCAGACACCACTCTGGTATCATTCTGAGAAGGAAGAGAGAATGTACAAGGCTCGAACCTGCAGAGGAAAGGAGGTTTCATAATGACTGGAAGCCACTGGCCAAATCCTTGGTTTCAAACATCTAGACAACCTAGATCTCCCCTGTTGCCATCAAGAAAGATATGGAAGAACCTTACCGCTTCAATCTCTTCTTCTTCTTCATCAATAGTGGAGACAGTAACTGAGCTGAACTTGCCCATGTCTTTGGTCCGTTTGGTCATCATAACCTTGGAAAGAGAGAATTTTTTAAAAAATATTATGTGTTGTTCAAACTTGGGGCTCAGCAAATGCAAAAGGTGATGATCTTATCCTTCACAGATCTGGAGAATGCAGTTTAATACTAAGAGAAGGAAGGCAGATCTGTCCTATACTTCATCCGCTGGAGTCTCAGTCTTAGAACAGGGACAGTAATTTGCAGATCACCAGCCAGGTGCAGATGCCAAATCCCCTTTTTTACAACTTGTAGAATCCCCCGAGAGTTGCACCACTATAATGTGCTGGGCAATTGTGTATCAGATTCCTTCAGCACATTTAAAATTGATTCCAACCAACTCCATGCAAAATCAGGGGGGAAAAAAGGAAAAAATATCCACTTACTTCCAAGACATCAGGATTTATCACTCTGTCAACTTGTGGCCCTTGACCCCCAAAACTAATGCTCTAAAAAAACAGTTTGGCTGATGACTGAGGTGGGTTAGGTGAACGGAGGCTCACTGAGTCATGCTCGGGGTAGAGAAAAGGAAATCAAATGGAAGGATGTGTCCTCTGATAGAGTAAGCCAAACACTGTGTTGGGTAACAAACATACAAATGAAGAGACTACTGCCCTCAAGACCAAATATTTCAGAACTTCCTGGAGTAAGAAGAGCCTTGTAAGATCAGGCCAACCAAATGCCACCAAGGAGCTCAGAAGTTCAGCCAGAAGACAAGGGCATTCTCTGCTGGAACTCCACAGCAGTTGGCAGTCAAAGGCACACTCCCTATCTGAGCATTTCGCCACACACTGCAAGAGAAGACTCTTCTTCTCCTCCCCTACCTTCTTAGGGGGCTCTTGCTTCTGGGTGTAGATGTTGGTTTTCCCAAAGCCCTGCCCAAATTTGACCACAGCGCCATCCACAATGAACGTCACTGGAGCATTCTTCAGCTGGTGTTGGTAAAAAAGGAGCAGGCCACACCTGGAAAGAAAGTGACCACTTGTTTTTCTTCCCAAATCTAATTAAAAGAACACATCTGCCTGTATTTGATATTTCATCTCAGTTCAGCTGCTAGATTAAGCCTGAGCATGCCATAAATTGCAACCATTTAATCCTTCCCCAACCTGGTCCTACTTGTTAAGTTGGATTCCAACCTCCAATAACCAGTAGTCCAATTTATACAGAAGACACTCAACTGGGGATGCAAAAAAGTTTGCATTAGGGTTTCCTGGATGCCAGTGTGACATCTTAACCCAGTGTTTCTCAGCCTTGACAACTTTAAGATGTGTGGACTTCAACTCCCAGAATTCCCCAGCCAGGAAGCTGGCTGGGGAATTC